GGCCCCTGCAGCAGCCACCCGCCTTCTCCCATGTCCTTGGTGTCGACGAGGCTAATGCGGACTGATACCTGGGTCTCCAGACACCCAGTCCAGTGCGCTCCTTCTCCCCCCGCCCCGCAGCCTTTCAACAGTGAGGCCACGACTGGCGAAGGGGGCCGGACTGTGAAATGGGCTCCATCCAGTTTCATGGTTTCAGACACGCTCCCCCAGCTCCCACCACACCGACTGTCAGAATAGCGAGACTCAGATGGGAAACTGCCTTCACTAATCCATCCGGCCCTGAGCCCAGCCCCCATGCCCACCTCAGCACAGTCTCAGAAGGGAGCACGGTCTCTTCAGGACTGAGCCACGTTTTCTTTTCTTTTTTTTTTTTTTTGAGACAGAGTCTCACTCCGTCACCAGGCACCAGGCTGGAGTGCAGTGGCACGATCTCAGCTCCCCACAACCTCCACCTCCCGGGTTCAAGCAATTCTGCCTCAGCCTCCCAAGTAGCTGGGACTACAGGTGCACACCATCACGCCCAGCTAATTTTTTGGCATTTTTAGTAGAGATGGGGTTTCACCATGTTGGCCAGCATGATCTCGATCTCTTGACCTTGTGATCTGCCCACCTCAGCCTCTCAAAGTGCTGGGATTACAGGCGTGAGCCACTGCGCCCGGCCTGAGCCACGTTTTCAGAGCACCTTGTCCTACTGTGAGAGCCGTCACTTTGTCTGCATGTCTTTCCTCTCCCGTCCTCCCATCCTTAGGAGAGAAAGAGTTTCCTAAATTGCTTGATGGGAACCGTGGGATCTCCTTCCTTTGGAGGTGTTAATTTGTCTTTTTTTTGTTTTTTTGAGACAGAGTCTCACTCTGTCGCCCAGGCTGGAGCACAGTGGTGCGATCTCACTGCAACCTGTACCTCCTGGGTTCAAGAGACTCTCCTGCCTCAGCCTCCTGAGTAGCTGGGATTACAGACACCTGCCACCACACCCAGCTAAATTTTTTGCATTTTTGGTAGAGACGGGGTTTCTCCATGTTGGCCAGGCTGGTTTCCAAACTCCTGACCTCAAGTGATCTGCCCGCCTCGGCCTCCCAAAGTGCTGGGATTACAGGTGCCTACCATCACACGTGACTAATTGTTTTTAGTAGAGACCGGGTTTTTCTGTGTTGGCCAGTCTGGTCTCAAAGTCCTGACCTCAAGTGATCTGCCTACCTTGGCCTCCCAAAGTGCTGGGATTATAGGCATGAGCCACCACACCCGGCCTAACTTTTCTTTTTCTTGAGATGAAATTCACATAAAATTAACCATCAGCCATTTTCAAGTGTGCAGTTCAGTGGCGTTGGCTATATTCACAATGTTGTACAACCATCATCCCGCTCTAGTTCCGAGATATTTCATCACCTCAAAAGGAAACTCCATCCCTGAGAGCAGTCACTTCCCCTTCCCTCCCTCCAGCTGCAGGCAACCACCAATCTGCTTTCTGTCTCTTTGGATTGACCTGTTTGGACATTTGAAATGGACTCATACACGTGGCCTTTTGTGCCTGTCTGGATCCTTTTCCCTGGCATAATGCTTCCACGATCCATCCACATTGCAGCACGGATCAGTGCTTCATTCCCGGTTACGGCTGAATACTGTTCCGTTGTGCCACGCTTTGTTTATTCATTTGTGAGGACACTGTGTGCTTTCCACCTGTTGGCTATTGAGAATAACTCTGCTATGAATATGCAGGTACATGTGTTTGAATGCCTGTTTTCTTTTTTAAAAAATTTCTGTGGGTACATAGTAGGCGTATATATGAACACCTGTTTTCAATTCCTTTGGTACATGACTAGAAGTTGCATTGCTGACTCACACAGGGTAATCTCATCATTAACTTTTTTTGTTTGTCTTTTTGAGACCAAGTCTTGCTCATCTAGGCTGCAGTGCAGTAGAACCATCTGGGCTCACAGCAACCTCTGCCTCCCCGGTTCAAGCAATTCTCCTGCCTCTGCCTCCCCATAGCTGGGACTACAAGCACGTGCCACCACGCCCAGCTAATTTTTGCGTTTTTAGTAGAGACGGGGTTTCACCATGTTGGCCAGGCTGGTCTCGAACTGAGAGCCAACTGCGCCTGATCCTCATCTTTGACTTTTTGAGGACTCCTCAAACAGATGTGTTAATTTTATAACTAGTTCTCTATTCATACAAATGGAGATGGAGCTGCCGATAATTCAAAATAGCGAGTCCAACAGGAGCCACTACTGATATGACTACTTTTTATTAAGAAGTTTCCAGGCCCTCTGCTGAGAACTTTGCCTACACTAAGAAATGCTCTGCCGCCCTCCGAGCTGGGGGCTCTCATGATACCTATTTTCTAGGTAAGGAAACTGAGACTCGGAGGTTAAGCTTTAGAACTTGCTCAAGGTCACGCAGAGTTGAGAAAGCCAGAGTTCCACTTTGGGTGGCTTGGCCCCCAAGCTCATGCTCTTAATCACTAAACTGTCATGTCCCGATCATGTGCCAAATGGTTTCTGTTTGGATTGCAACGTGACAGGGTAGAGGCTGGCAGCGACAGATCTCTGCTCCTAATTATGCCAGGTTCAGACTGTTATGAAAATGAGTTTGCCTTCCTTGAGCACGCCCCAGCTGTGAGCAGCGGGAGCTGGCCGGCGGGTGACTGGAATGAAACCCCACACAGTGGATAACCCACCAAACAGATAAGTGACACTTGACTGCAAACTACGACGCTGAGTGATTGCACACCATTGGGGCGGTGAGCTTTATCCCTCTGTTCCTTCAGAAAACATCCTATTGTCCCCATAACAGCTCCCATTTATTGGGCACTTACACCTTGTCCACCACAGTGCAGAGATCATCTGACCACATACCAAGGAAGGGGTATTGTTTTTCCATTTTACAGACGATAGTTTGAGTAAACAGGTGCAGAGCATACAGGTGTCATTCACTAAGCTGGCGTCAGTCCAGGTGTTGGGATTTGAGAACACACACTGCTTCTCAATCAGAGGCCTCATTGCTTTTAGGGACCTCAGATTTTGTCCAGGGGGAAAAGTTTCCGGGAGTTGCTTCCCCAAGGCGATGAGCTGCCTCCTGTGAGTGACACGGATCTGTTCATAACCTCAGATGATACCTAGCCAGTTTTTATTGCTCTTTAAAAAAATATATCCAATCAAGGTATTAGTTCCTTCCAACCTCTCACATTTGCCTTTTGTCAAAACGCTACGCGTTTCCCCCTCATTCCCCTAAACCTGCTGTTGAGTTACCAGCCCCCAGAGGCTGCGGGCTCTGAGCGGATGCATCCCCGCACCGAGTGTAATCAAACATCAAGCTAAGTAGCAAATAAATCTCTCGATCTCATAAGCTGCACAGCGAGATCATGTAAATGCAAATGAAGGACCTGATTTCAAGCTGTCGAGGGGGAGGGGAGGGAACGCTGGGGCCCTGTCACCGTGACCGTCTCACATGGCAAGGGCCATACATCAGCCTCCAGAACAGAGCAGGCAGCGGGAAGGGAGGCTGGGCTGCCCGGGAGAGCCAGGACCAGGCAGGCAAGAGCGCAGGCAGCCTGGGTCCGTGGGAACCAGACAGGGCTGGACGGGGTGGCGGGGTAGGCATGAGAACACCTGGAGGGGCTTCCCAAGGTCCGCGGCTCTTTTTGGACCTGAGCTGGGAGCTGCTATGGCAGTTTTAACAATAAGACGGCAGTAACAGAAGCCATCATTTACTGAGCCGCCTCCTAGTGCCATGAAACACTCTACAACCTCAGGAGGTTTTGCAGGTGAAGAAAGAGAAGACCAGACAAAGCAAGGGACTTGCCCAAGGTCACACAGGAAGTGGCACAGCTGGGAGTCCAACTCAGCTCTGAGTGAATCAGCATGCCAGCTCCTGAATTCTCCTCCATGACCCTCTGCCCCTCAGCCAGCAGCCCCCATTACAAACCCAAGCAGAATTGCAATGACACAGAAGACTTTCTCATAGATAAAATAGAAACATATAACTCAACTCTGTTGGGTGACTTTTTAAATTATAAAAGTAAAACCTCAATACGAAAAGAAGCGTCCCCATCTCTAACCACACACATCACAGTTACAGGGCTGGGTTTCCTTCCAGTATTTTTTCCAATGCATTTTTTTTTTTTAACGTGGTTGTAACAGTAGTCTATGTAGAATTTTGAATCCGGCTGTGTTTTTTTTTTTTTTTTCGCTTGACATTATTTTATACATCTTTGATCACACATGGATGTGGTCTTCTCATGCGTGGCTTTTTCGTATCATTATGCGATGTTCAACTGACACTCACACAATGCACGGGGTTCAAAGCACTGGGCTTCTAAGAGGATGCCTGAGCGCTTTGATGCATAATGCACCTTATTTTACATGATTGTTTATCTGAGGTTCTCATTACGGAAATAAATAAATATCCTCTATGCTAATAATGGTCACAATTTGCATTTATATTGTGCTTTTCATTCGAGGATCTTAAGTTGTTTTACAATAATGAACTACCCCTCCACGAACACAATGGTATGTGTGCGCATATGTATGCATGCGTGTAGCGATAGACAGATATTTATTTAATAACTACCTGGCAATGGGATTTCACGTAACTGCGCTTTAACAGAATGCAGGAGAGGGAGTGGAGGCTTTTCAACTGTTGAACAAACATTCATTTAGTTTAGACGCAGGGCTGGAGGGTTAATGAGCTACACTATATGTGGTTGGCAGGAAGTGAGAGTGATTGATTCCTTTGAGGGCCTTGCTCATGTTGGAATGAACGTCTTTGGTGGGTCTGAAACTCAGGTATCGAACTCCCTGGCAGAAAACCTGCCTCTCTGGAAGTGACCACTGGCCCATTTGTCTGGACGAAGATCTGGTTCAAGGCTGTCTCGGCAACAAAGCCAGCTGGCTTCCCCACTCTTCGCCTCTTCATTTCTCATTTCTTATGTCTGAATTTTTAAGATATCTCTTGTAAAACCCACAAGACCTTTAAAGAGTTGCGCCTAAGTTTTGCAATAAGAAATGAGGGCTAGGTAAGGAAAAAAATAAGTAGATTGGGTGGGAAATGGTTAGACTTGAGTTGCAAGGCTGGGTCACTTGTTTTGAAGACGTGCCATGCAGACGGGCTTTGGTGAAGCTCCGGGTCTGGAGACCTTTGTTCCTGGATCCCAGGTCGCTTCTAATCAAAGCAACAACCTGTGGGAAACGCTACCTGCACCTGCCTCTGGCTAGCCCCAGTAGTTCTCACGGCGACAGGCGGCTCCGAGGGGGCTTCCGGGACCCAAGGCTGCCTGCCCGGCTTGGTTCCCAGCGTGAGTTTCCAGGGCCTGGTCCTCCATGATGGGGAGTGGAGGGAGCTGATATTGCAAGCGGAGCCCAGAGAATCCCAGGACCCCCTGGGACGGGAAGAGAGATGGTTTTAATTAGAGCCGAGAGATGGGAAATAAGGCAGAGAGGGATGACATCTTAATGAGGTTTAATGAAGCTGTCTGCTGATGGGGACAGCTGTCACCCAGAGCTGTATTCCAGCCAAGCCACTTTGTGACGGAGGAAACTCGCAAAAAGGCAGTTTGAAGGCAGCTGAGGAGGGCGGCGTGGTCAGACTCAGAGCTGGGATTTTTCTCCATTTGCCTCTTAATTCCAACACCTCATTGACAAAGGATTCCAGCTAGTGGGCCATATTAAAAAAGCTTCCGACATTTCAAAATTCCCCGTTGTGCAGAAACTAAGGTGTGCCTCTTAAAAGACCTTGTGGATTTTGCATGAGATGTCTTAAAAATTCAGACATCAGAAATGAGAAGTGCAAGGATTTTCAGGGCTGAAAGGGGTCTCTTCCCTTTTTGAGCCTTGACTCCTTGCTTGTCCAGTGGGGATACCATGGCCTCCCTTATAGAGTTTTGTGAGAGTTGGGGGGTTGCTGGAGTTAAGCACAGAGGTGTGACGTCCAGGAGACGTGAGTTTAACCCCAGCTTTTCTATCGACTACCCGGGTGCTGTTGGACAAGTGTGAATCTCTTTAAGCTTCAGTTTTCCCATCTGTAAAATGGGAAAACCTCCTTGACAGTGAAGTTGGCAGAGTTCACGGAGAAGCACAAATACTCTTAGCACTTGCTCAGCACATAGTAAGTGCTCAATAAAGAGGGCACAGGACATCCTGTGAGCTTGCACGGAGGGGGTGCACAATGCGTGTTGATTCTCTTCCTTGTTTCTTTCTTCACTGCATGGTAGTTCTAAGGGATCCCTGTGCAGGGAGGGTGATCTCGGCCTCCACATGGCCCAATAGCCAGGCCACACCGGCTGTCCCAGGACCTTTGCACATTCCAGCCTGCGACCTGTCTAGGAGACCCTTTTTGCCTCTGCAAATGGCCACCTCCCATCCTGGCCTGGGCTGGCGGGGCAGGCTGATGAGGCCTGGCGTGGCTGATCGGAGCAGAGATTTGGGACTGAGTCTCATCAGTTTCACAGATGTTGGAGTGAGGTTGCCATGTGTCCTCGTGTGTTTGTGCTGCTGTAACAAAATACCTGAGATGTGGCAATATAGAAAGATTAGACGTTTGTTTCTCACTGTTCTAGGGCTGGGAGTTCAAGATCAAGGCGCCAATGGTTTCTGTGTCTGGTGAGAGCCGAGGCTTTGCTTCCAAGATGGTGCCTTGTTGCTTATCCCCCAGGATAGGAACGAATTCTGTGTCCTCACGTGGCAGATGCACGGAAGGGGATAAAAAGGGCAAACTCCTTCCACCAAGGCCCCCTCTTTTTTTTCTGAAGTGGAGTCTTACTCTGCCGCCAGGCTGGAGTGCAGTGGCACGATCTTAGCTCACTGCAAATTCTGCCTCCCGGGTTCAAGAGATTCCCCCTGCCTCAGCCTCCCAAGCAGCTGAGACTACAGGTGTGTGCCACCACGCCCAGCTAATTTTTTGTATTTCAGTAGAGACAGGATTTCACCACGTTGGCCAGGATGGTCTTGATCTTCTGACCTCGTGATCCACCTGCCTCAGCCTCCCAAACGGCTGGGATTACAGGCATGAGCCACCGCACCAGGCCCATCAAGGTCTTTTATAAGGGCACCGATTCTCCCATAAGTGCAGAGCCCTCGTGACTCAGCCACCCCCTAAAGGCCACACCTCCGAATACTGTAGCATTGAAATTAAGTTTCAGCATGAGTTTGGAAGGGATAAAAACATTCAGACCATAGTGCCATGGAAAAGCAGGTGGCCGTCAAGCCTCAGGTGCATTTCGATGGCAGCTGAACTCAGATGTCAGTCACAACCTGCTTGCCCATGTCTTTTTTTTTTTTTTTTTTTTGAGACGGAGTTTCACTC